AGCATCTATACAAATCATTTCTGGAATTATGTCCCTATTGAAATAAAGAGCTAGGAATTATGTCCTCTAGGGGACATAGACATAAAGGAACATAAATTTTATATGCTAAATACTTTAGGGATCCATCTTTAATAATAAATTAAATATTTTTAATTCTATTTCTAACTGTGAATATTTTTTAAAGAAAAAGTGAAGGGAGAAACCGGAGTAGTACCTATTTTTGGTAAATAGAACTCTGTATAGAAAGCCTTTTTGATAACTTGTAGAAAGAAACATCAGATACTATAAGGAAGCAATTACTAAACTATCTTGCTTGAAACTGAATGTCTTATTATCTTTTTGACTTTTTCTATCAGTAATTATCATAGTACCAATCAGATAATCATTGTATAATAACACCTTTTCTAAAGATTACAATCTTAATATCTATCAGATTAGTATGTGAATTGACTTCTTATGAGAAATGGTGCTTAACAGATTATAATGCCAGATATCATATTAATTCTATTCAACCACCTTCACCTGGGGTTGAACTTATATCTTGTGATCTGGATCTGAGAGCACTGATCATTATGCTATTGATTTACAGGTCTAAAAATATAAAAAATATTTTATATTAAAGGTTGTATCTGAAAAAATATGGATTTTGTATTATTTAATATATAAATAATAAAAAGATTCTTATATTAAAAAAGTATTTGAAAATAGTTTGATCCAATAATATTAGTATATTTATTATTATAAAATCTTTTTATATATTTGTTAAATAATTAATTATTTTAAGACTAAATATATAATAAAATTGATTAAATATTTTGAGTATGAATTAATTTTATAAATAAAATAATATTTAATAATATTTTTTAGTTTCTTTAGCAATATTGGAAATAACTAATATAGTATTTTTTTGATTACAGTAGGTCTAAGAGTTTTATGTAATCTACTAATTCATTCCAGTTTTTCAAAAAATATTTGCATCTGAACTTAAGTATCTGAACAATTTTAAAATATTTGAACTTGTTTAGATTTATAAATCTTAAACACACAATGAAGAGAAATAAGTTGAGAATCTATCTAATTTTTTTTTTGCTAATATAACCTATTATTATTGTTTTTTTTTATAATTGTTATGAGTTTTGGCTTCTAATATTTCATATTCTTTTTGATGATTTTCTTTAAATAAATTATTTTTTGTGAATAATCTAAAGAAAATTTTATCTTTTAGGAGAATTTTTGTAAAAATTGTAAAGTAAGATTTTTGTAAAATTAATTTCTTTGAAATAATTTGATTTTTATAAACAGATTTGCTATATTTTAGATTTTGAACCTGCAAGAGAATAGCTGAGAAGCTAGATTAATAATAATTATTATATTTATTAACAAAAGATTCATTAGTATTAACAGTTTATAAGAAAAAAGAATTATTTATAGAATAATTAAAAGTTGAATCACTTTTTAAGAAAATCTTGATAATTCTGTTTTTGTTGTTACTTGGGAATATTATTGTTTATAAGATTTTATTTAAGCTTTTTGTAGATGAGAAATTAGAAATTTACAAGATTTTCAATTAAGCTGGATTCTTTATCCGATTATTCTGATAACTCTTTAGTATTATTTTCTTATTACTATATATATTCTAATTTCTAATGGAATATGTGACTCATAATTATATTATTTGATAAAATGACCAGATTCTCTTGAACTTGATGATTAAATTCTATTAGAGAACTAATATTTCATATTATAGATAAATAGTCCAATAATATTATTGATATGTTATTATCAAAGTAAGGGCTGGTAGATCTGATTATATTTTTTGATTTGTCATAATATTTGTCTGTGATGACTGCATTTTAGAAATTATTTACTTGTATTATATTATTTGTATTGTATATATTATTGATATTTGTTATTATAGTATTAATAATATGCATTGCATTTATGCTGTTTAAGCTATAGAAGGTGCATACATATTATTATTGATTTTTATTATAACTGTCTTTAGCAAGTCTGTTACTAATGAAAAATAAGATTTGTATAAGATAGTAAGTGTTTTATATTATATGTGAAGTGAATTTAATTATGGCTAAAATTTGATTTCTCTTTTTTATTTATTAATGATATAGTTTTTTATACAATTAGTTTCAATAATTATATAAGAATCTGATAATAAGAAAATAAAATAAACAAAAAAATAAAATAAAATAATAAATTTGTAGTAAAACTATTATATAACATATTGTCATTTTTGTCTTTATATTACATAATTTATTGACATTAACAAGTAAAGACAAATTATAAACTTAGTCTAGTCTTTTTCTGATTATATTATATTTTTTTATCAAAGTCTTTCATACTTTTTCATATACTATTTTATTATTTTGATGTGACTTGTTTTGATTATAGCATATAATATTTTTTTGATGGCTATTGTTAGTATAATTCATATTATTATTTTTCATATATATTATCAAATTGGAATTGTTTATGTTCTGTTAATCAATGGATAGGGATAAGCTACTTAAGATTTTTTAAGAATTTGAAATATTGATATTTTTTTTCAAGATTGTAAAAAAGTATTGTTCTTTAATTTTTATTTTTTATCTTGAACTGGTATATTGGAAGATAAATAGATAAGTGTATTTTATATTTTTTTAAAAGTGAATTTGATTTTATTGTTTATTATGTTGATTTAATTCCAAGAGAGATGGAAAATATAGTTGAGATTATTATCTAATAATTTCTTGTGATAATCTCCTTTATGCTTGAGGCAAGATTATTTTTTTTTGATAAAGAAAAAAATCATTGAGATTGTTTTGAATATTGCTTTTTATATTAATAATTGAGAGTGAGGTTGTTATATATGAATGTGAGAAGAAATTGGTGTTGATTATTATTTGTTTAAATTTAATAAAAATGATATTCACTTGTGAAGAGTTGTTAATATTATTTGAGTTTTGTAGAAGAATATTTGGAATTTGAGAAAGTCAAAAGGAGAAAAAATATATGTTTTGTTGGTTCAATGATTTGAATATTGTTTAAGTTGTTTTTTTTATAAACTACAGAAAAAAAATAATTATTTGAGTTGACTATTACAATATTCAAGAGGATATAAAATGAATTTGGGGATTTGTTTTTGAGAATTCAGTTCTTAAGAGTATTTGTTGGTTTGTTCTCCTTAAAATTTTATATACAGTATATTATAAAAAAAAATTTTAAAAAAAAAAAATTTATAAAAAAAAGTTTTTTTTTTATAAAAAATAAATAAAAATATTTTAAATAATAGATTTATAAAATAAAAGATTTTAAACTTATTTATAAATATCAAATAAAAAAATTATAATTATATATATAGTATAATAAAAAATAATAACAATTAATTTAATTATTTTTTATAATATTGCAAATTTAAATAAAAAATATAATTTGTTTTTATAAATATATTTATTAAAAAAAGCTTTTTTTTTTTAATTTGATTTAAATTTTAATACTGTAAGTTATAAGTTAATTAAATTATATGATATAATTTTTAAATTAATATGTTAAATATATAAAATTATTATATTAAAATATTTATATATAGTTAAAAATTCTATTTAATATTTTTAAATAGAATTATAATTATTTTCATATGAAAAAATTTTTTTAAAAAAATATTTATAATATTTTTTATACAAAAACTAAAAAATTTAAAAAAATTTAAAAAATTGGTTTTATTTTTAATTTATAATTTTATAAAGTTATAAAATCCTTTTATATTATTTTTTATATAAATAATTAATAAGATTTTTGATTTATTGCTTTCTTAATATTTGAACTTAATATAAAAATTAATATTTAAAAAAAATTTTTTTAAAACAAAATCATATTTAATTCCATTAATACTAAAAATATTTTTTTGTTATTTTAAAATATTAATAAAAAAAAATACCAGTTTTTATTGCCAGCACTGTAATTATCTTAATATGTAAAATGTTAAATTTTATATAATAATTTCCTGACATTTTTTAAATAGTAAAAAATGACTTTCTATCGATTTGTGCGTGTATAATAATACAGTAAAGTCATTCTTTTTTCAATATAACGCGGTAAGATGAAACGTTTTTTTTTTTATATAACAATAATATTAAGGTTAAGGTTTTCATCATTGACGAGAAAGATTCAGTGTCGTTGACTGATTATATTTTACAGTACATAAAAAAAACACCTTGTTGATTTCTATTAATTGAAAACGTTTGCTATTTAGGTATGAAACTTCTTTAATTAAGCTTATCGATACTATCAAATATTATATTTTTATTATTTAATGTTATAAAATTCTATTGATACAGTAATAACCGACAAAATTACGATATAAAAATTCCCTTAATTTCATAGAAATAATATATCCCCATACGTAATTTTTTTGGAACCCAGCTGTTTAAAATAAATAAATTGTAGGAAATTTTTCTATTTGATGGGGCTTGTATATTGATCAACTAAATTAAACGAAGAAGGATTCTAAACAGAAGAGATAATTTTAGTTGAATTAATTATGAAGAGAAAAATACAAAAATAAAATAAAAATCTAAAAAATATCTAGAAACATTAACACTTCTTTAAGTCGTATTCTCATGAGATTCAGGAAGAGATTTTTTGTATTCGTTAAGTACAGATACCCACTCGTCCCTTTCTTTTTCTGTTGAAGCAATGAGTCTATAGGTCCTTGTTTTTGTTTCAATTTCGAACTCTGAATTTTTGCCATTAACATTCCTGATTTGAACATCACGAGTGATCATAATTTCTTTAGCGTCTGTACCATCCTTTTCATTTTTAAAGTAGTTCAAAGAACCTTCATGAGTGAACACAAAATATCGTTGTTCATTAAGTTTGACAAATTGACTTAATTTCTTTAGGTAGCCATGTTTAAGGGCATCTCTTTCACTTGCTAACACTATTTCAGCTGAATCTTTCGCTGCCTCTTCATTTTGAGGCGGTTGTCTACTTAACCTATTATTTAAAACGGATAATTATTATAAGTAGCAAATTATTTGTAAAATCGAGAACCATCATTTTAACTTGCCTATTAAAAATTTTGCTAGTCATTTTAATTTTGAGATAAATAACAAATAGCTAATAAGTAGGATGAGCAAGAAGACGAATACATATATGAAAAAGGGATAGTTTCTAGAATGTAGTAGGTACTACGTAGTACGTACTGTACCGGCAAACAGAAATTTTTTTAACGCAGTACGCAATATGCAATTGCATGTACAGTACTGTATGTATAAAATATGTAAAACTTTTAAGTTTGTTTAAAATAAGTGTTTAAAATATACTGTATATCCACTAAATAATGTATTTAAAAAATAATGCTCTAAGCTGCTAATTCTTTCGTTTAATACTGTCAAGTTGATTCGAAATACTTATAACTGCATACCGATAACGAAAATGGACTACTGTATATCCCAAATCTAACTGTAATTGGTTTGGTTGAAAACTTTAAAAATTAGGATTATACTTAATTACTGTAGATGTTAATAGACGATTTGTATGTCAAAACATAATACCGTTTTTTAAATTATTAAGTATAGCTACAGCAAATTTAACACAATTTAAAAAATTTCGAAAAAGCAAAAGTTTATTCTGAAAATGCTCGAATAATTAATTCAAATATTTAGGTTCAATAAGATAGTGTTAATAATGCCATCGATGTGAATATACAGTATATGCACATATAGTAAGTATTAGGTTTAAATTGTTTTATCGATTGGGTTTTATGTTATTCTCTACATATTTCTATTGCAAATATTAGTATAATATTGATTTGCAAAATTCCAAATAAAATTATAATTAAAAGAAATGTACAAACATATGTAAAAATCAAATAACGATATTTAACAAATATAAAAATTTCCATTGAAAAATTAAATGATAGAATTATATTATTACTATTATACTACATTGGCTATAAGTATTTTATTTTTTATAAAAATTCAATTTTTATTGTATTTACTTGAAAATTGCAATATTAATTATAATTTGTAAAATATTTACTTTTTTCAAATTATCTAATTACAAAAATCAAAGTTAGATAAAAACAAAAATTGCAAGTCAGTTTTTTAAAATAAATATTTTTGAACTTAAAATTTATACTGTATAAAAACAAAATTAATATAATAATTATATAATTAAAATTTTTTAAAATTATATGTTAAAATTCATGTTTTTTTATATTAGTAACAAAATTTAAATATATTTTATTAAAATAGTTGATATAAAAATCAAATATTAAAGTTTTTTTTTATATATTCTATTCAAAAAATAATGATCAATGTTAATTTTTTTATATAATTTTTTTAAATAAATTATATAGCAATTGGAAAAAATAAAAACTCATATATTTATAAATAATCAAATAATTAAAATAAAAATAAAAATGTATATATTTGAAGATATAAGAATAAAAATATATAAAAAGTTTTTTAAATATATTAAAATAATATAATTAAATTATAATTAAAAAGACAATTAATTTTTAATTTTTTTTGTCAATTACAAAAAAAAACAATAATATCAATTATTAAAATTATTTCAATATATAAATTAGTTAAATATAGATTAATAAAACTTTAAAATAATTTTTTTTGACTTAATATTAAGCAATCTACTTTTTTTATAATATAATAAAAATATCTTATTACTATTAAAATTTTTTTGTTAAATATTCATTAAAAAGTTATTAATAATTACATAATAAATTTATGGAAAATATTAATTAAAATCAAAAATATATATTAAAAATATAAAAAATCATATAATAATTAATTATCTTTTTAATAAAATATATTTATTATTAAAATATTATTTGTTAAATTAATATAAAAGGTAGGTAGCTTAATATTAAGCTAAAAAAATTATTATTATTTTTTCTAATCAAACTGCTAACCATATGTTTATTAATCCATTTATAGGAAACAATAATACATTATATAGTATGATATTATACTGTTATAGTTATACTAGTGAATAGTATTAGTTCTATTTTTATTATTATTATTATTTTATTATATTTTATTACTGTATTATTATTATTGTTACTATTATTATCTTATAGCTAGCATATAACATATTCAAATATATCATATAGTTCATCCTCGATTACTTTTCCCGACGAAAGTTTCCACACCCTATTAACTTGTAAGCTTCTTCAACCCCCTTTCTATTTGCAAGAACATAGATTCTTATCAGTATTCAGTATACACAAAGCCAAGAGTCTAATAAGATTTACTTTGTTTTTCTTCGTCACTTCTACTTTATCGTTCGTTTGTCGCTTCCTTAACTTCTTGATTATCAATCGCTTCCTTTACGTGATACAATAGTAAGCATAATAGGCGTTTATGGCTAACAACACCTATCCCGAATATAATGTGCCTGATCAGATACGTCCGAATCATCATCATCAGATGCAGAGACTGGATCCTGCGATTCAACATTATTTTCTGCTCCGCTTCTTGATCGACTTTGTCCTTGTTCGTCCTTCATGAGTCTTTTCGATGATTGTTGGCATTCGTCCACGATTTCATCACAATATTCTCCCCCACAGCTTGGTATATATCAATTGTTTTTGATCGAATAGTTCCTTTTACACGATTCTATAAAGACAATTTGATAGTTTCGCTTATGATTAGTTGTAAATTAACATGTGCACAAATAAAGGTTTTTCACCTGCCTTTTTACGTTCTTCTATAATTTCCCGCCAATACGGATGAGTATCCTATGGAAATAATGTATAACATAAATAACATACCATATAATAACAAGAAGCTCAATCAAAACAAAATAGACCATATCGCAAATAATGAGAGCTAGGAAAATATGCCTATACTCTGGATTCAGGTAGAAAGCTGTCAAGAGGTGCTCTTCATTATCACTTGGGCTAGGAAAATATGCCTATACTCTGGATTCAGGTAGCAAGCTGTCAAGAGGCGCCCTACGGTCAACTAATTAAAACATATTTACCTCTTCTGCGACTGGTGCATTTGCGGTAGATTCAATCTTTTGAAGTTCGCAAAAAACGTCTGTACCACGCTCCATTTGAGTCCTTTCCAATTTTCTGACAATGGAGGTGTTTTGACAACTAAAGAGCGGTTTGTTTCCAAAAACCCTAAGTATGACAGGAACTGGGAGCAGTTCTGGTTAAGTAAAATTCGAGGGCTATTGAAAGTAAAATATGATCGATTAGTGTCTAATACAAAAGAAGCTCTTTTCACACATTTGAATTAATGCTTGCCTGTTCGACCGGGATATGGTTTTGTTGACATTATAACTATCGATCGAAAAAGTATGTAATGTGAAACTGATAATTTTGGTGTCGATCAACCATATTTATTGATCAATTTTAGTCACATGATTTTGATGCAAACGAATGATTTTTCGCATCCAAATCAGAAAATGATAGAGAAGCGAATGAAATGTATGATGCTATCAAAGAGGTTGGAGTACACGGATCCTAGGCCATTTAATGCGAGTCCCAGCATCACATTATTTCTTTGCTCTCACATTTATTATGAATTTCTATAGCTATTTTGTTTCTATTGCTACTAACTACAAGATTCTAATCCCCACACTCTTTTACTATACCAGATTCTGAAATAAATTATCCCACCCATATTTATAGAATTTTTGTCTATCTATATCTCAGACACACAGATTATGTAAAATAATATTCTCCGCAATGAAACTTCTTCGAAATTAAGTAATTTCGAATCTACGGTATAAATTCGGGAGATTAGCAATTAAGGTAAAAAAATATATTTCCGATTCACACTTACCATTACTATTAATTATTAGTCCGGAGCATAGTGGAGGACTATATATTTCTATGAAAATGTCCGTCTGTCCACCCCTGTAATATACAGTAAATATATCATTTTTACATATTTATTTTTTATATTATTAAAAAACCCCTGTAATTAGCAGTATCATTTTATTATAGTGATAAATTATTATAGTTAAACGGTAACTATATAGTCTAATAATTCTAGACACAGATAATTATAGCGGTAAATTATTATAGTTAAACGGTGACTATATAGTCTAATAATTCTAACACAGATATTATAGCGGTAAATTAATTATGGCGATTATATAGTTTAATAATTCTAATACAGCGGTAATAACTATTATTAACACAATAAGATAGTAAGTAATAACATTATTAATTATGTCAAAATAATTTCTAACACTTATTGTAATTTTTAATACACGAATAGGTATACTATTACATCATTAGTTTACATAAATGACTTCTTATAACTAGGAAGATTGCGTCAATACTTTTATAATTGGATAAGATCGTTCTATAATGATTAAAATTAATATGACGAAATAATATTTAACATGTTTTAAATGTAAGATAAGATTGATTATTAGTATTATAATAAACGAGAGATAAATATATCATGAGTAGAATTAATAGTTAGGTATCGGAAATTTAAGTTTAAAAAAATATTTATCAATCTTAGAAATTTTTATAAAATTATCTTAACGATATATATATTAAAACAAATAACGCATATATAGGACACGGTAATCACAATTTGCAATGCTGATACGTATAGATCATACTCCTGAGTGATCTCACAAACTCTTATTAGTCTGGAGTATAGTGAATGACTATATATTATTATTTTAAAACAAACTAAAAAATTAATTTTTAATTAAATTATAATTAATTAAAATTTATACTTTCTATTTCATACAATAAAATTTATTATTATTATATATGTAATATTTTTAAAAATATAATTTATTAACTATATTAAATCTATAATTTAATATTAAAAAATTTTTATAATTAAAAATTTGGCTCCGGACTTAACAACAGTTCCTGTTTCCTAGTTACTTTATATAAAGTTGATTCGATTTTTTATTGCCGGTACGATACTGCGCCAAATGTTATTGAGGAGATGATGTTAAGGCATGTGAAGAGATTCATAGTTTCACTGCGCCTATTATACGCGTTATGATTGTCAAAGATTTTCTTGGCGAAGATTAATAATGCCGATATATAACAAGAAGAGCAATATGCTTGTTTTATTTTGGAACATCTACCGACTAATAACGCTAACTTTCCTAGGCGGTTACCGGAGACTCATCATTGGTGAGCTTTTTCTTTCGTATCTTTCGTTACGATAATAATAACCTCTATCGAGTCCACCATATTCTTCATATCCACTATATCCATCATCCGAATCATCTGGCATCTCTTCTTCAGAATCACTATCATGACTACTGTCGCTATTATCTTCTGTCTCATTTTCGTTTGTTCCTTTATCTATCCGAGGTATTGGACTTTAAAGATTACGATCAAATTCATCATCAAAATACACATCATCATAGACATTTACCTTAACCGGAGTTACTACATTTGATGATGCCTTGTTCTCTCTTCTCTATCCTAGCCTCTTCCTCCTCGAAAGTTTCCATGATTATTTTATCAAAATCGTCCTCAACCAGCGTTGCTGAACCAAGGGTTTGCTTGCTCGTTCAATATATTATTCTGATCATTCGAAATCTCCTCTTCGGAATCAGTAATAGGGTCATCCCGATCATCTGAAAATTCAGTGTTGGAATTTTCGGAGAAATAATCAATAATAGTTTTTGAATTTGACTATCAGATAATTCCGATATAGAATTCGCACTACGTGTTGTGATATACTTAAATAATTTGTATATGCTTCTTGCTCTTTGAGTTTGTTTTAGTATTGTGTTGCGTTTAGTACCAGGAGGAAGGAGTAGTTTAATAAGATTGTAATAAATCATGCCTGTGCTTTTTTTCTCGCCAACTTAATACTCATTCATAAACTCTAGTCTTTTTATCGAATTCTATAACATAGGAACACCAATACAATAATTCTTTTAATTAGCTTGAATTGCTTCATATTTCGCATCCCAAGCTTCTTGTATTAAGCAGACTAGATTTTGCAATATATTCGGGGATTATCCGTATCAGATTTTTCGTGACGGGCCGTCGTGGAAATTTCAGTCATATGATTTTTCTCAGGTGCCGAAGTGGCTGTGAAATCAAACACATTCTGTACAATATTCTCCGCTTCCTTCTTCTTATGTGATTTAGATTTTTTGTCCTTTGTTACAGAAGAGGTGGTCTCATTTGAGACTCCAGACAAGTCCTGGGTAGCTGATTCACGCAATAATTTCTTTCCTCATTCCCCTGCCTAATCTCATCACCAACTTTCTTTTTATATGTCTCATCTAAGAAAGTATCTATATCCCTTTCCTCTATTAACTTGATGTCCGCGTTATCAGCTACGTGCTGTTTAGTTACGCCAAACGCTGGTCTATTATTCGAAGCGAAGATATATCTTCTTCGACAGAGCATGAGTTCTGCACATTAGTAACATGTGAGTTGTTGAGGCTTCGTGAGGTTGAAGGAATCGAAATCATGTCTTAATTTGGCTAATTCAGCTAGAGCTATGCATTTTCGGCTGAAACATCTGCACTATTTTTCACCTATTCCTCAATTCTGACCTTGTGTTCGGCATTCTCAGCATCACGCCTAGCACTTTCCTCTATAATCTGTGTCAATTTCGCATTCTCA